AGACGAAGGAGAGAGGAGGGAGATTAGACTTAGAAGAAGAATAAAAGACAAATGCCCACTTCTGCTTCGGGCTCCCTCCTCGATCACCACCTCAAATAATCAATAGTCTGAACGCACATCTGAGGTTCTATTACAATGTGCCACGTGGCACGTCGATCAGTCCCTCATCAGCGTAGTTGAGCAATGTCGACCTCAAGATAATCAGGTACGTGTCCACGATTGCCCCACAGTCATGATCTCCTCCCGAGTGACGATGAATAAGAACAGCAGTGCCAGTCACGTAGCCCAGCCACTTCAGCAACAGTACACGTGGCAGCGGCCATGTCAGCAGCGATGCGTAGCAGCTGCCACATCAGCATGCCCTGAAGACAATAGTCAGCCAGCCACCATGCCGAGCCAGCAGCGCGTTGCCGTAGTCACCCAAGTGCCAGCGCAAAGCCAGCGTCCAGCCAGCGTCGCAGCGTTGAGCCAGCATTGTCGTCAACGCGTGAAGTCAGCATTGACGCAAGACCGAATGAATCTCGAAGTCAGGAAGTCAGCGCTTATGTAGCGTTGACACGGGGTCTGGACCTCGGATGCTGCATCCCTCAACTGTCAAGATCTCAATGCAAATGACGGCCCAGATTGGCCTGAAACCGAATTCCTTCTGGCCTTGATGCTGTCTGGTTACCTGCGCACAACAAGTGAGTGTATCCGACCAAGGGCCTGGGCGCAGTACCTTTGACCTGCCAGTTGACTTAGACTTTTGACTTCCCACGGGCAGTTTGTGGTCACACTGCCTGGCGCAGGCCGAGTTTGGCCTGCGTCGTCTGGGCTCCGTTTCGAGGGCCCAGACTGCTGCAGAACACGGATTGCTGCAAGTGTGCCGCTTCGGCGGCAGACGGGTGTGTGGACACTTGGCGCTGAACCACACAAACGTGACCAACCTTGCATTTTCTATTATACTGTTTGTCTATACTTTTTCATCATGAATGGTTTGTTATGATTTGTGGAGGAAATGAGAGAGAGTTTTTTGGGTGCTTTAACAACATACACACACGCGTGTTTTGTTGGTTTGTTTTTCTATACATGGCATAATTCTTCGCCCTGATTTGCAGCATGTGCTCTGTTGTCAATGCAGTAATGTCTGCGGGTGGCCACTGTTTTTTTCTGGGGTTGGAGTTTGGGGTTTTGGCCAGAATATCTCTGCGAGGAGGCTCAGAGAGTGTTTGCTGTGGGTGTCATTCCCGGGGGCTGCTCTGTCGGAGCACATGGAAGAATGGGGTGGCTTCTAGGGTGTTTTAAGCAGTAGCGCTCCTGGTGTCACGTGACATCTTGTGGAATTTGGCATACTAATTGCAGTGGCCTCGCGGTAATGCTAGGACATCGTCTGATTCTGCAGGTTGTGCTGCAGGGGGAGATTCAGGGCACTCTTGGTGTTGCGTGCAGGTCCTGCGGTGTATTTTTTATTTGTGGTGGTGTTTTAGGCCGCAAAACATTTTTAGACCATTGGCATGTGTGGCCGGTGCTGTTTTGTTAATGGAGTCTCTTATGTTATGTTGGTCTGTGGTTTTGTGGGCCGACGTGGAGGGCTCTGCAAGTTTTTTCGGACCTGTGGCAGATGGGCTCGGTGCTTTCTTGCTGGTGGAGTCCTCTGTCTTAGGTAATTTGCTTTTTGCCCTCAGCCCTTTTATTGATCAAATAAATATATGTATATATCGTCAAACAGTATGTATATGTGCAAGTGTATCGGCACTTGGCGCTGAACCACACAAACGTGGCCAACCTTGCATTTTCTATTATTTTGCCTATCGATACTTTTTTGTTATGGATGGTTTGTTATGATCTGTGGAGGAAATGAGAGAGAGTTTGGGGTGCTTTAAACCACTAGTACCCTCCAGTTTTCAAGGCCCGACCCTCCCGCTACCGGTTGCCAGACCCTGGCCTAGCCTACACCTACCGGTAGTTGGGAAAAAAAAACTAAAAACAAGGGGAAAAAAAGGAAAAGGAAAAATCATGGCTACGCCGGACCCGGACCCGGACATTTCCGGACATGGAACCGGACCCGTGTCCGGTAGTTTCCGGACGTCCGGAATTCCGGACATTTCCGGACCTCCGGACATGGGGGAATCCGGACAGTCCGGAAGTCTGGACAGGTCCGGAAATGTCCGGACCATTAAAAAAAAAAAAAAAAATCTGAAAAAAAAGTATGTTATGCAGAATAACAATTCAAACCACTTTTGCCTCAGAGTCATGTCAGAATTCCTAACCAAACTTGAGTTAAAAGTCAAAAACTATAAAAAGCTTAAAAAAAGACTTTAAAAACTAATAAAAGGTAATGAATTATTAATAATTAAAAAATTGGGGTTGTCTAATAAATTACTATAGAGAGAGAGCATGTCCGGACCCCCCAAAAAATCATAAACGGGCCTGAAAAACCCCCAAAACAATTTTGGGGGCTTGGCTCCTCAATGGGGAAGGGTCCTGGACCTTTTTTTTTTTTTTTTTCCTCGAAATTTGCCAGATCCGGACCTTCCAGACCGGACATCTGGATTCCGGACTGAATCCAGACTGTCCGGACGGCGGTCCGGACGTCCGGATCGTAGCCATGGGAAAAAGTCTAACACTCGAATTACTTGTTTATAAAAAACAAAAAACAATGCTACCGGTTGCCCGACCCTGGCCTAGCCTACACCTACCGGTAGTTGGGGAAAAAAAAACTAAAAACAAGGAAAAAAAGGAAAAGGAAAAATTCTAACACTCGAATTGCTTGTTTATAAAAAACAAAAAACAAAAGCCAATGTCGGTAGAGGTATACAAACGCACGCGCGCGAGAGAGAGAGAGCTATGTATATGTGAAAAACAAGAGTGAATGCTCCCGCGAAGGCGGGAGCACCGCATTCATTCCCATTTTGCACATACTGATACGGGCGGGAGAGAGAGAGAGAGAGAGAGAGAGAGAGAGAGAGAGGTGGGGGTCAGAGAGAGTGTCGGCGATTTCGCCGGGCAGTGGTGCTGCAAATGTGCCGTCTCTCTCTGCCCCTCTCTCTCTCTCTCTCTCTCTCTCTCTCTCTCTCTCTCTCTCTCTCTCTCTCTCTCTCNCTCTCTCTCTCTCTCTCTCTCTCTCTCTCTCTCTCTCTCTCTCTCTCTCTCTCTCCCCACCCAGGTTTCTGAGTCTTAACCCCACTGCAAGGCAAATGAACAGAAGCGAGATGACAATATTCAGATTGCACAATCACATTGAAAGCCAAATCGTAACACAGTGTTCAGAAAGCAGCATTGCACTAATATAACACCAATGGAGAATTGTAGCACTGAAAGTCAATGTCAATGAGAGCTTGCTCTCGCCACCACCAACATATGTATCCAGTCTCTATCTCCCTACTCGGCGCTCAGCGCCCAGCCTACTCCCTACACAGCTGCTATTAGCCTACTAATTGACAATGCAACTGTTGACGTCAGCAGCACCCGAAGTACTTGAAGATATCGCCCATGCAGAACCATCGCCAATACCAGGTATGTGCCCTCACATCATCATCATCATCATCCTTCTCTCTCTCCCTTGACTCTCTCCCATGTCTTCCTTTGTTGTACACCCGAAGACCACCCCGGCGCCTCACTGTACATCCAAGCCCTGCCAGCTATGGAGGTTGGGCTATGGCGCTGCCCTCAGAAGCGCCCTGCTTCCTGCACGACCGCACGTGCCTGCACCTCGCCGCTCAGCAGCAGCCCACGAGCTTCAACTCCAGCAGTGCTGCCGCCAGCATGCGAGTGCCCGAATGGCCGGCCAGGCAGCGAGCTCTTTCCTATATGCCTCGTTCGGCAGCCTGCTGGACTGGCCTGGGCCCATAAGCTTCCGGTAGGCCCCAGGATGCTGCGCCTCTGGTGCAGCTACTGGGCCTCATTCGGTTGGGCCTCCCAACCGTCTGTGTATGAGGCTGCGAATCTCGCCCAGGGCCTGTGCTTTCGGAAAGGCTTGGGAATTTCCACGCTGCTCGGCCTGTGTTTCCCTGCCTGGACCCCAAATGCGCAATTGACAGTCAAGGGCCCCTCGTGATTTGTTAGGCCCGCCTTCACTTAGGGCGGGCACTTTTGCTGCAGGGGGCCCCTTAGGCCTGCCGAGGACCCATATCCTCGCATTCCCTCCTCCTATACTTCGATAGTCCTCTGAGAAGTTTTCTATCCCTTTAAGATCTCTTTAATAGCATGCAATGACTTGAGGTGCAATTCTTATGAGTTCTTCTCTGGTGAATTACCGATCTTCGTTGGGGTCCAGATGATGTCTGAATCTGACCCGGTACTGCATTTTCGGCTTAGGAGGGCGGCCGCTGCCCGGTGGTCGAGGAACTGGCATCAGACGATGCTCCACGATCTGGTCTATGTCCACTTCGCCATCCATGGTTGGGGGCAGCATTGATCTCCTGGAGGGAAGCTGATCTGTGGCAGCGAAGGGTTCCAGCTTGGATGCATGGAAAACAGGGTAAGGACGCAAGTGTGGAGGAATGCGAATCATGTATGAAGGCCCATCCAGTTGATCACCTACAATGTCTAAGATCTCCCAGGACCCAAAGTACTGTGGCATCAGTTTTCATGAAATCCCTATCTCCTGACCCAGTTCAGATGACTTTACCCAGACTCTATCACCTACCTGAAAGTTAGAGGGCCGTCTATGTTTATTCTCATATGCGATCATAGCATCCTGAGACTTCCTAATATGTTCAACGGCCTGCTGCAGCATCTGTTCATACTTGACAACAAATTCTATGCTGCCAGGTGCTGCAGTGGGTTGCCTTTCTGGTAGCAGAAAGTGCACTTTTGGGCTTCCAACCAAGATGCAGCTGGTTGGGAGTCATAGCAGTAGTACTGTGCACAGCATTGTTGTACAGGCTAGCGACGAGAGGTAACTTCTCGTCCCAGTCATCCTGACTTGGCTTAATATAATGTCGAAGCAGGTGCTGTACCACCCGGTTCATTTGTTTTGCCTGGCCATTTGACTCAGGGTGATTCCCTGACGTCATGTAGAGCTTGGTACCCATTTGTTCAGCTGTCGTTTGCCACAGTTCGTTGGTAAACCTTACATCCCTGTCACTTACTATCGACGTAGGTAGTCCAAAATCCTTGACCCAGTTATCTAGAAACAGTTTGATGACATAGTCGGTTTTAGCAGTTTCTGGCATTACGATAAGTCTTGCATACTTAGAAAAGCGGTCCACTATCACGAAGATGTGTCTTTTTCGAGACCTGCTGGTCACAAGGGTATCCATGAAAGCCATGGACACACTCTGACCAGGACCTTCAGGAATCGGCAAGGGCTTGACGAGCCCAAGCGGAGCCTGAGTCTTGGGTTTGTCCCTTTGGCAAACCTGGCAGGTTTTAACGTACCTTTTTGCATCTTGCATCATAGTGGGCCACCAGAACTTCTGCACTAGATTAGCTGAAGTCTTTTTATAAGCAAAATGACCAGTTGCATCATGACATTCCCCTAAAAATAAACTACGCAAAGACTCACTACTGGGAACACACAATCTTTTATTCTCTGCCTTCTCAAGAAACAACAAGCCATCTACCATCGTAAATTCATCCAAAGTTTTTTTGTCCTTTGCTTGGAATCTACGGAATATCTCATACATAACTGGATCTTGCTGACAGGCTTCCACCAATGATCGAGTTAAGTCGTTGGATATACCAAATTCAGTCACTAGTGCGCCTAGATAATCTGCCCGACAAGATAGTGCATCAACTACTTTGTTGTACTCACCCTTGATTGGATCAAGTTGATAGTCATACATGTCTATCACTTGTATCCATCGCTTGAGTGCGTCGGAGAGTACCGACTGTGTCTTAATCCAGCGCAAGGTCTCATGGTCAGATCTCACATAGAAGAATCTGCCAAGGAGATAGTGTCTCCAATGTACCAGCGCTCTATACAGGGCATAGAGCTCACGCTCATAAGTGGACTTGGCTAGTTTCTGAGATGGCATTTTCTTACTCATGTACTCGATAGGTCTCAACTTGGGCCCCTCCTTTTGCGTAAGGACCGCACCTATGCCATATTGGCTGGCGTTTGTGGTCACAACAAATGGCTTATCAGGATCGGGAAGTTTAAGAACCTCATAGTGGGTTAGAGCATACTTCAGTTTCCTGAAGGCCGTCTCACACTCTTCGATCCACTCCCACGGGGTGTCCAGTCGAGTTAGATCTGTTAATGGGGAAGCTATAGTACTATAGTTCTTTACAAACGGACGATAGTAGCCTGTCATCCCCCAAAACGATCTGACCTTAGTAACAGTCTGAGGTCTGGGCCAGTCACGTATGCTGGTCACCTTAGCATCATTCGGCATCAATCCATCTGCTGAGATTTCATGACCCAGGTACAAGATCTTGGTGCGACCGAACGCGCATTTCTCCAAGTTAACCTTGTACTGGTGTTGTCTTAGGAGACCTAGCACTATTTTCAAGTGCTCAGCGTGCTCCTCTACAGTCCTACTAAAGATAAGAATATCGTCGAGGTACACGACGATAAACTTGTTTAAGTATTCATGAAATATCTTGTTCATCGCATGCTGGAACGTACCAGGTGCATTGCATAGGCCAAAGGGCATCACCACAAACTCGTATAGACCGTACCTGGTCTGAAATGCGGTTTTGGGTTGGTCCTCATGTCTAATGGCAATTTGATGGTATCCAGACTTCAGCTCTATCTTGGTGAAGTACCGGCATCCCTGCACTCTATCCAAGAGGTCGTTGATGCGGGGTAGGGGCTCCGCGTTCTTAACAGTGATGGCATTGAGGCCCCTATAGTCAATGCACATCCTCAAGGTGCCTCCCTTCTTTGGGACAAATAAGACTGGCGCACTGTAAGGGGAGGCACTAGGCCGAATCCATCCCTTTTCTATGAGCTCCTTGACCTGGCGGCGAAGCTCATCCAACTCCGCAGTCACCTTACTATCTGGGACAACCTCTATTGCATGGACCACCTCCCTTTCTACCACGCCTGTGGGCTCCTCAAAAAGGTCTGAATATGTTGCGACGACTGATTCTATATCTGGGGGTGTTCTAACGACCTCCTCTTTCTCAGAGACAAAGACGAGATACATGCCCTCCTCGCAATTCTGCTTGTAGTAGTTATAGAAAGAGGAAGCACACATGCAGCCGTAGTTCTCCACTAGACTGCTAGCCTTATACTTACGTAGTCTAACGGTTCTACCATTTGGCAACTTGTGTATCAGCACCTTCCTATCCCAATCAAACTGAGGTTGCACGACCTCGAGGTAGTACATGCCTAGTAGCATATCGAAGGGCAGTTCGTCGCTAACGAGGAATGAGATTTTATGTCTCACTTCCCCTCCTCCATAAGAGAAGGAACAGACTACGTCCTTGACATAGTCTTTAACTACCATTTGGTGCTTGTTGGCTAGCGTAGAAGCTACAGTTCTGCTAAGCGGCTGCACTTGGTCCCCTAAGCGCAGTCTATCCACACAAGCACGACTGATGAAGTTTCGTGTAGAGCCTATGTCTGCGAAGGAGCCAACTTTGCGGCCACCTACATCAACCTCTACCACGAAATGTTCACCCTTTGGACCTCTATTGATCATCGCCCAAGAGTCTCTAGGGTCCTTCCCTGACAACTCAGTCTCTAACTCTTCTAGGGCCTCAGACACATCTCTCGAACAGAGTGTCGGTGGGTCTGAATGTGTTTGCGGGGCGATACGTGGGTCGCTAGCCCTGGACAACGCTTGAAGTGGGGAAGGCAACGTTACCACTTCAGCGTGAGTAAGAGCGGCTAAAACTCCTACTGGCCCGAGGTGTTTCCCTGCGAAGTGCTCGCAGAAGCACCGCCAAGCTTCGAAGATAGTCCTACCACCGTTGGAGAGGCTACCCTCGTTTGGACTTTCTTGCCTCGACACATTCGGGACGTGTGGCCATAGTTGCCACAGTTCATGCACGTGCCCCTAGCGACTCGGTTCCTCCACACCTCATACTCTAAACCAAGTTTCACCCAAGCGGGCGTGCCTTGGTCGCCCTGACCCGTAGACCGGCCTACCTTCTTCTTCCCGGTCCCCCTAGCCTTTTCCTTGATGGGTGCCACCACTCCCCCATCCGAAGTTTCGCTGGCCCCATCGTGCTCTGTCTCCTCCCCAAGGTTTGGGAAGTTGTCAATTTCTGTCGCCTGACCATCGTGGTCGACGAACATTAGTTGACCTTTCTTCTTCCAGTCCTGGGGTAGTCTGTTCTTCCTACCATCTCCCTGACTCTGATGCGCAGATCCCAACTTTGCCTCTATGTCTAAGGCCTTCTTGCTGAAGGAGGCGAAGTTGTGTTGTTCGACATAGGCCTCATCTACCAGCTTTGTCCTAACCTTTGAAGGCCGACATCTAAGGTAATCCGTAAGGAGTACCTGCTGGTCATAGCGCACATCAGGTACCACGAGCAGACGTTCTACGGTATCCGTAAGTTTTCTAACATTCTTGTACCTTCTGGCACAAACACTGTTGATCGCGTCTGTGGCCTTTTGAGCCCCTTGCGGGTCATGCCACCTATTATACACGGACCGTACGAACTCTTCTAATGTCTGGGCCTGGGCCCAGGCATCGAAGTTCTGACCGTAGCCCCGCTGCTGCACTAGGCCATTCAACCAGTGGGCTGCTGACCCCTCTAGAAAGGAGGCAGCTACTACAACTTCTTGCTCCGCCCTGGTAAGCTTGTGCCTCACATAGGTAGGCACCGTCCTACCCAGGTGTCCAAGTCCCCATCCTTCTTCTTGTCGTTGGAGAAGGGCTTAGGACTCAGCAAGGGTATTTTGGGCATCCACTGCATAGGCTGCATTGGCCCAGGGGATTGCTGCAGTGGCTGCATAGCCACCGAAACAGGTTGCTGCACACTAACCTGGGCCTAGCTTGACAGTGGGACTGTAGTAACCACTGTCGTCGATGGTACGGTTGAGACTCTAAAGACCGGACCACTAGTCGCCAAATAACCACCTGGAGGGGGCATACGAAACATAGGTGAGAATGAAGGCCCTACCGGCGACGGCGTCACTGATGGACCCGCACCCGAAGGGGGAGCTACAGCAAACTGAGGCTGCCTCATCACTGGACGAGGAGCCTGTAGTGCAGCCAGAATTCGTTTATGGCCTGCCACTAGTTCAGCCAACACCTCCTGCTGAACTACCTGCGTCTCCGCCACACAAAGTAGCGAGTCACGCAGCGCTCGCATCGCAGGGTCAAGTGTTGACTCATCTAATGCTTCTATTCTGCTTAGCTCCTGCAATCTACTACCTAGTCTAGCTTTTCTCATAATTGCTCTTCTTCTCCTCTCTGCTGCTTCATCCAACTGCCGCTACAACTCATCCTGAAGTTCTTCTGCTTGGAGGATCTCATAATCCTCCGACGTGAGTTGAGCCTGTTGGCTGACTTGCAAGCCAGCACTCTGGCTAATGGAAACCCGAGAACCACTCTGACTAACTCCTGACGAAGTGGCCTGTGAAGAGGCCTGCGACATGGTAGAGAAGTAGCCATGGTCGTACCAGTGCTAGCTGAAATCCTAGACCTGGCACTGTCCTCAGCCACCCTCGCTCTTCTTGCCGCTGTTCTCTCTCTAGCCTCTCTCCGCAGTCTCCTCTCGACTCCTGGACCTAACTCTAGGAAAGTCAAAGGTCAACTGAGAGCAGTACTACGAGTAGTCCTACGGTCATCCACTAACAACTCCTCCTCACTAGTGCTTGCATCACTCATGAGCTACAGTGTGTGTGATCTAAACTAAAATTCACATTGAATCCTACCTCAGCAATGTCAGCATGACACACAACCGATTATGATACACAACTAACTTCAGTCGGCCTGGACAGAAACAGTTAGGTGGTTAAGTGTCACCCAGTGTCAGACCCTACAGGAAATATTAAGTCTATTTTTATATTACTCTAATACAGATTGCAATGCAGCAAAGAATATTCTACTCTATCTGCAGTTGTCTGTCAGTTGTCAATCAAGTTTGTAACAACTGAGTAATCAAAAATACAAATAATGCTCCCTGCAGAGATGTATGCCCCACGGCGAACAGTTGTCAGAATCTAACCCTTTCCCTGTATCCCTCTTGAGTAGTCACTTTGTGTTGATGTTCCTAGGCATCTGGTTGAGCAGCGTGTCTAAAGGCCCACCCCTGTGCCCCAAGTCAACGCTGAACTTGCCAGCCCCTGCACATTATTTATCCTTGCATGCAACGAGCCTTACACCCGGTTTGATCTGGAGGCATTTAAGGAGATCCCCCGTAACTCCTCAAGAATTATTTAACGTCGCAGACAGGACGACAATCACAACCAGAATCAACACCGAGTCCCCGCCAGAAATATTTAGAGACGGTCTGGTAAGCGTCTGTTCAAAGGGCTGGCATGCCCTGCATGACCTCGCCACCCCCCAGTTTCAGCTCCTGGGTAACAGGTCCAAAACTGAAATTAGGCTTTGGGGGTGAAATTTTATGTTTTTTTGGTGTTTTTTTTTTTGCCTGTTTTTGTCTTACTTCAAGGTGGTTGTGTACCAAATTTGGTCTCATTTGGAGCATTGGAATTTCCTCTGATAAGACCATTTCCAAAAAGGCTGAAAATTCTGAAAATTCGCTGAATCCAAAATGCCATTCAAGTGCACTTTTGCCTTACTGTTTCACCCTGTTTTTATTTTATTTTTTTGTTTTTTTTCTAATGGTTTGTTAATATGGTGTGCACTCTACGGAATGATGCGATTTTTGGTTAAAAAGGGCTTCTGGTTTTCTTATAAATAGCATTAAAAAAACGCTGAAATTTTGGGTCTCCGTTAAACCAGCTTGCTGCCCAGGAAGAATGCCGACTCTCAAGGTTGAGCGCTCGCGACACCTCACATTGAGAGGACTCTCAAAACAGAACTCGCTTCCTCATCATGGTAAGAAGCAATGAAGAGGGTAGACAAGGAAGGAAGCAACATACCTCATAATGCTGCCCCCAACCACAGATTTCTCACCGGCAACCTGATGTGCATTTATGATGACCGGTCTTTACCTCGGCACAACCAACAGCAGAATGTAGTTCCACCTCGGCTTAAATGTCACATCAGCGAGCTCTCATCATCCAGCGTACAGCCCTAATGTCACCACATAGCTTCCTGGCGCGCCCACACGACCCTGGGCCGCCTTACGTTCAACACCCAAGCCTTATCACTGCCCCACACCTCATGTGAAGCACCGAACAGCTATTGCGAAGAGCCAATGAGTGCAGTTCGAACCAGCTCCGATACCAAATTGCAAGGCAAATGAACAGAAGCGAGATGACAATATTCAGATTGCACAATCACATTGAAAGCCAAATCGTAACACAGCGTTCAGAAAGCAGCATTGCACCAATATAACACCAATGGAGAATCGTAGCACTGAAAGTCAATGTCAATGAGAGCTTGCTCTCGCCACCACCAACATATGTATCCAGTCTCTATCTCCCTACTTGGCTCTCGGTGCCCAGCCTACTCCCTACACAGCTACTATTAGCCTACTAATTGACAATGCAACTGTTGATGTCAGCAGCACCCGAAGTACTTGAAGATGTCGCCCATGCAGAACCATCGCCAATACCAAGTATGTGCCCTCACATCATCGTCATCATCATCCTTCTCTCTCTCCCTTGACTCTCTCCCACGTCTTCCTTTGTTGTACACCCGAAGACCACCCCTGCGCCTCACTGTATATCCAAGCCCTGCCGGCTATGGAGGCTGGGCTATGGCGCTGCCCTCAGCAGCGCCCTGCTTCCTGCACGACCCCGCATGTGCCTGCACCTCGCCGCTCAGCGCTAGCAGCAGCCCACGAGCTTCAGCTCCAGCAGGGCTGCCGCCAGCATGCGAGTGCCCGAATGGCCGGCCAGGCAGCAAACTCTTTCCTATATGGAAAGAGCCTGCCTCATTCGGCAGCCTGGCTGGACTGGCCTGGGCCCAGAAGCTTCCGGTAGGCCCCAGGATGCTGCGCCCCTGGTGCAGCTACTGGGCCTCATTCGGTTGGGCCTCCCAACTGTCTGTGTATGAGGCTGCGAATCTCGCCCAGGGCCTGTGCTTTCGGAAAGGCCTAGAAGGCCTGGGAATTTTCACGCTGCTCGGCCTGTGTTTCCCTTCAACCAACTGGCGCAACAAAACTGCCTGGACCTCATATGCGAAATTGACAGCCAAGGGCCTCTCGTGATTTGTTAGGCCCGCCTTCACTTAGGGCGGGCACTTTTTCTGCAGGGGGCCCCTTAGACCTGCCGAGGACCCATATCCTCGCACCACCCTGTGCACGGTGCATTTTTCTTTTGCTTTTGTTTCGTTTCGAAGCTCTTTATTTTTTTCTGTTTTTTCTCTTTTCCTTCCTTTTTTTTTTTTATCAGCGAGCAGGCGTTCGTTCGCCCGGCCCCCTAAAGTCGCGGCGCGTTAACAGACGCGACTTTTGTTTGTAGCTGGTAGAGGTACTGGTGGTTTAACAACACACACACACACACTTTCGGAGCACATGGAAGAATGGGATAGCTTCTAGGGTGTTTTAAGCAGAAGCGCTCCTGGTTGGGGTAGCTTCGAGGGTGTTTTAAGCAGAAGCGCCCCTGGTTTCGCGTGGAGATCTTGTGGAATTCGGCGTGGTACTCACAGTGGCATCGCTGTAGCACCAGGATATCATCTGATTCTGCAGGTTGTGCAGCAGGGGGAGGTTCATGGAACTCTTGTTGTTGCGTACAGGTCCTGTGGTGTATTTTTGAGTTGTGGTGGTGTTGTAGGCTGTCGC